CCCCCCCAATCTATTAGAGCTAGGTCAGTTTCAGGAATCGGTAAATAGCACTTTGCCACCCCACTTGCAAGAGTAAGGAAAATGCCTAACTAGTTATCCCTCTAAAAGGGATAAGCCGTTGCAAGTCGTCCTTATCTCATCTTCTGGTGAAATAAACCCCGCAGAACTTGCATGGTTCACGTGACCTACCATGGGAAATTTCCTCTTTTTTCTATTTCTCCTACCCAAGTAATTCATACAACCTTAAAACTTACTATGGGGTCCATGTCATTCCAAATCATTGTCTTAACTGATGGTTCTCCCAAGGCACACATTTTGCTAGTTCACAGGTTATCCAACCCCACAATGTTGGGTCTCATGTGGGAAACATGGAAAAAGATGAAAAAGGCAGGGGGTCAAGTGCTTTTTCCCCACTTTTAAGCAACAATGCAAACAAGTAACCTTAAAAATTACTTAAAAATTCGCCATCAGTCAGATTGCAGGCAAGAACCTCTAGCACTTTCCGACCAGCCATAAAGCAGTGAATTTGCTTCTGTCTCTGTACACACTGCTCGTGACATTACAGGACTGACCATGCCAAATTTTTATCTACTGTGAAAAGACGGAGGGCGAAGGCAGTAGGGCTAGTGACCGTGGCGAAGTCATAACAGCCTGAAAGATATTTTAGAAGCTCATAAAGGTCTATATGGGATGCTACCTATGTCATGGCATGCTTAGTTATCTCTTACCTAGCTATGAGCCTATGAAAACATCATTTGGAAGGGCAAAGTACTATTTACCTTCAGGAATTGCAAACACAAAGTTCAAATATTATCTCACATCACATGAAGCATTACCAACTTGAAAAAGATGTCAATTCAGAATAAGAATCTGTGATGCAAAATTTTACGTTAATGATTTGTAGTGACCAAATGAATTACATGGTATACTACGGATGACAAAGAGTTTAGGATTGTGAAAAATGATGACTGTGACCATAAACATGATGACGATGCAAATGTTGATGTTGATGATAGTCATAGGATACAAAATGTCAGGTTCGATAATATTGATGTTTCGCCCTTAACGTGAGAAACATCAGTCTGAACAAAGTGAGAAGGAACAACAGAAACGTTCTTCTTTTCTCGTTTTAACAACTTCGTGCGTGTCAGTTTATTGTCCTGCACAGTTGGATTTTCTGACCCTCTTTGAGTTGTACCATTGCTTGAATGTACCAGTTCAATAAAAGCTGCAATTGTTAAAAAGAGAAACATGTATAAAAATCAGTTTTGGCAGGTGACAATAAAGTAACACCAGAAAAATGCAATACCTATATAAAACCAACAACCATGAATGCAATTGAACTACTCACATTGCACATCAAGACATTCGTGCCAAGGCTTGTCATATCTCACTCGATCAATGCGTGGAAATCGCAAGCTGTATGGAGCAGAAAATACCTTGATAAACAGAAAAGGGAATCAATACACATTTATGTGATGTTCATTGTAACATAAGAACTGGGAGGATTAGAATATTATTGCACAATCAAGTTGGACAATCTCTCTACTAGTCTCACCCTCTTTATATCTTATCGGCTTTGTACCAGTGGAATTATAATATATTTTCCCCGCACCTAAAGTGGGAACTAGAGCCAAAGTGTGTGGTGTGAACTATACAAGTTACCAATAACATCGATTAAATAAAGTAAAGGCAGAAAAGATGCACTTGTTCTGGAATATACCTCAGATCTAATTGTTCGGATATCACTAGTGATAGAAAGTATGATTGATCTGCATATACAACAGAAGGGTAAGACAACAAAGTTATGTAAACATAATTTTCTTGTACTATCAGTAGAAAATGTGCTCACTTCTCTGGGCTTTCAACCCAAACATCTGGTCTCTCCTTTGAGTTATTTGTGACTTCATAATAGCTTGGCGGTGCCTTTTTGGGGTACTCATATTTCCTGCAAATGGAATGATCCAATTTTCATTACATGCTCATTGTATCATTAGACATCTATATGTGAGCAACAAATCAATGAAACTTGTTAAAAGACAATATTTAAATAATATACACGTGCCTCTCTAATAGTTAAAAGCTATTAGATCAGGTGGTTCAACATGGTATGAGAACACGCAAAGGTCTTCAAGTCTCGCTACTACCCATTTAATAAAATTGTGCACATGGGAAAAGATGAAGACCGCCCACACATTAGAGAGCATGTTGAAAACAATATTTAAATAATATACACGTGGTCCTCTGTAACATCTTAACGCGTGCTTAGGAGTTTTTTCTTTTCTAATCGATTTTGGGTGACATCGTTTATGAGTTGAAAAAATCGGTGCTTACTAACTTTTTTTGGCATTGATTTTTGATGGTTTAAAAACCACCCAAAATCAGTATAGTGTAATTTTGATTGATTCTCTAAACCTGCCTAATCGACGAGGTTTGACAATTTCTCATTTTCTCTTCTAATTTTACCCTCGATAAAATAATTATTTTCCACCAACATATTTTGATCGAAACTAACTTGTAAATAAAAATATATTAACTAAAAATATTATTTATAAGCGCAAAAATTACGTTACAAGTAAAAATTCCTCAAAAGTAAGATATTACTTATGCCCCTAACATTCTTAAATAGTGTTTTGATATCATTTTAACCACATTTTTTTAGTAAAATAATATTACACGCAAATTCAAAAATTTCCCTTATTTTTTAACCACACATTTCTATCAATACACTATTTAAAAATTCATTCTTATCAAAAGAATGGGGCTCAAACAGAGGCTATAAGATAAAAAATCACTTTTATGTAAGAACTTCTGTTTATAAAATTAAAATGCTACTATAAGACAAAAATCCACTTATAAAATATAAAAAGTTACTTTAAAAAAATTAATAAATAAATAAATTTAAATTATTTAAAAGTACAAAATTAACTTATAATTGTAAAGTTTACTTATAAGTAAAAAAAATACTAACTTAAAATTTGAATGATATTAACTTTATTTAACCTTTTAAGTTAAATATTAACTTTTATGTAAAAAAATTTGCATATAAGTAAAATATCATACAAGAAACTATAAACTGAAAATTTCACTAAGGAACATATATGTAATTTATTCTTTTGAAAAATTTCCAAAACTAGTGGATAATAAACTCCCAAGCATAGGTTGGGCTATTTTAAAAACCGTTAATAAACCACTTAGAACCGATCTGTTCACAAATACTCAAAACCGATACTTTAAAAAACGCTTATAACGGGTACACCGAAACTCTCAAGTAGGCCCTTAAGCTTTAAATCAAGTGGTTCAACAAAACCTAAAAGGCTTCGGTAGTTCACAGGTTCTTCCACAAATACTCATTCCACTCTATTAGTATGGATCTGTCCCTAACATACCAATTGCTTGTGAAAAAAGTTCCACATTATGAGTTGTACATAAAAATAAAGCTTTTCACAAAAAGAACTATACTGAGTCATAGGCCATCAATCAATTCAATCCTTATAATGGTCAACGGATAGATTTTTCACCAAATTTAGTAACCAAACCACAAAATTTAAATGATACCTAAAATAAGGTTTCAATTTGGTCACAACAGTGTTAAGCTCCTCATCAGCAAGTCCTGTACCCACTCTGCAAAATGAAACAAATCTGCAACAACAGAAACATTATAAGCACAAATAACCCACATTTATATGAAAACTAATCATAATGCTGATCGTAAAATATCAATGCACAGAAGTATTGAGTGGACAGTACTATCACCAATTAAGTGACTTATGACTTCAATGTAATGATGAATGAATAGACCAAATACTTTTTAAGGGAACTAAAATATAAGTCCAATGTAATGATAGATGAAATAAACCATATATTGTAAAAGAAACTAGAAGTATCCATGACTAAGTAAAAAATATCAAATAACAAATGCATAGCTGATCCTCTTCCCTTTGTATTGAATGTAAAAGAAGAAACAATATGACGCAGAAAATGTTAAAAGAAGATAACTCCGAGGCCAGTTATGAGCTACAAAGAGTGTCGATACCAAGATATTACCGCACCCACACTTATGAAACCAACTTTTGAGATGAACATGTGAGTCAATGATTCTAAACATTTAGAATTACACTACTTGCTATCAATTATCATTCAATTTATTAAGGGACCACCAAACACACATGTATATGAACAAAATAAAGTGTCTAGAAAAGAACAAAGCAACAGAAAGACCCATTGTCGGTTTAACTATATATGTTCCTATATCTAAGACAACAGATGACGCAGCCAAAATTTTTACCAAGTCCACAAAGAAACCAATACCAAGAAAATGTGCAAACAAGCCCTTGTTCAAGCCCCATTCTTTGGGGAAAAAAATACATTCTTAAACAATTTTTGACATCATTTCAACCACACATTCTTCAATAAAATAATATTACAAGCAAATCCAAAATTTTTCCTTATTTTTTAACCACACATGTCCCATCAATACACTATTCAAAAATGCATTTTTCCCCCGAAATAGGCTCAAACAAGGGCCAAGATGATGAGCCAGCAACTATAAAGGTACGAGTTATAATAAATGTAGTGGGAAATTAGGATTTCATCTTGATATGTACACACCTTTGCAACCAAAATAATTTAAGTACTTACCGCCTTGGATATGTGTTTGGGGCTGGACGCTCTGCAAGCCCAACAAGAAATTGTGCTACCTTCAAGCATGAAAGAAAAACAAAAAGTTTTTTAAAAGAACAAGAAAAAGAGAGATAGCTGAAAGTGCAAACAAACAATGGTATTATCACCTCCCCTCCACGGCGCCCAGAACCATAATAGCCTCCTGAATGAAACGATTAAATAAATCAAGCACAATAAAGTAATCACTCATATGGAAAAGAAGTTGAAGCATAAATTCCAACCTATAATGAGAACATCTAAATCAGAGCCAGCTCGAATATACTCAGGCTTTAACTTTAGCCACTTTCCACTTCGATCACTAGGTTCCCATTTGGAGCTAAGATCTTTTAAAACAATTCCTTCATCCCTATGATTAGAAAATGATTTCACGCATAAGAAATTACAGTCCCAAAGGAAATCAAGGTTTAGAGAAATACCATAAACAACAGCTGCAAAAAGAGAAACATATTCATCACATAGAAAATTAAACCAGTTATGTTTCAACCACCTGTTAGCTCTCTTTGGTCTCCACCTGGGAATATTGTGCCATGAAAATTAAAAACATAACAATCACCAGAACACCCCTCCCTCCAGTTGTTTTTCCTATCATTTCACCTTTTTCACACCCTTAGTCTTTGACAATTAGCCAGTAAATTTCATTTTAAGAACACTCACCATTGAACTGCAAGGTGGATGAGCTTATTTATAAATTCAAGCAAGTATATATCATTTGAAGGGCAATGTTTCATTCTTCTTGAGTTTGTAGATAGGTGTAAAAAAAAATTCTCGCCAAGCAGAAACTCCAACTCGCTATCCCCTATGATTAGTGATCTTTTGAGGTAAACCTTTGCGGTACCTGGATGCAAAACTCATCTGACCCTTGAATGGCCAACTTGCAAAGCGATCATTCTTAAAAAGATGGTTCTGCGTTCTATGTGCTAATGATAATCTTGAGGCTTTTTCCAAGCTTACAAGCGGTACACATGGATGCTAGAAATGGAATCAGATTCTCTTTATATGTCTGGCATTCCATGTTATGGTAAAAAATGGAACTTCCGTTGCTGTTTGATCGGTAAGTTGATTAACCATTGCAGTCGATCACCAAAAGAATTCAGGTTGAGAGAGCAATATATCAGTGTGTTGGATAGTTTCTATCTGAAGTAGAGTCTTGCGGTAACTTCATTGCAGACAGTCATCTTTTTCACTCTCAGGTGAGTTCATCTATAGTGCATATTCCCGATATTTGTTGTTTGTGAATTTCACCTTTATAAAATTTGATCTTCAACTACAACTAAACATACAATTCCAACTTCAAAGAACCATAAAAGCAAATTCAAGATCTAACATTACGATGCTCTCCCCAAGGCGTGATCACACAAAACTACGGCAACTATTATGGCCATACTCATGCATAGTACATATACTTTAATATATATTGCTCCGGAATATAAATGTAATGTATGAACACAAGAATTTCTTTTAAGAATCAAAAGAAAAGTTGACGGAGATGAATAGAAGAATCACTAGCCTGTTCTCGATCGTTTCCTTGAAAAATTTCTCAATGTCATCAACATTGCGAGCAATTAGTGACCAACACGGTTCCCCTAGACCATAGTGCAGTTAAACAGCAATAAGTAGCAACCGAACAAGAAACTGCCAACCAGTTTTAAGAACTGAAGAAAGCAATATTAGAAACAAAATTTCAGTACATCACCACAGCTAACTGCCGTTCAGGACTGAATAAACTCTCGCAAGTTTTGGCAGCATAATCAGCAGTAATTTAATAGAAAAGTTATACAACAAAGTTACTGTTCCATGTAACAGTTTTCTGTCAATTACTTTGAATGAAAAATCCCACTGAAAAAAGCAAAGGCCACATGCACAATCTGCAATTATGTGCTGCAGCTGGCATTCTTATATAAACAGAGAAAGAAAGTTATAAAAAACAAGAAGCAGAGATCGATTGAGATTTCCACATGTACGAAGGTGTTCTTTTACTAACAGGTAGAGCATTGAGGAATAAACAAGTTGATTAAACCATTCTTGAAAAGTTAAGAAAACATGCTGACAACTCTGCACTCCAATGCGCAAAACTCAACAGATGCCATGTTTTACGAAATAAGAGGGATCACATCCAACTTACTCATGGGCATAAGAGCACAGAGACTGTGATTAAACAATTATAAAGACAAAGTACAGGAATTAAGCTCCTTCTGAAGAATTTATTCTTCTTGTTTGATTTTGAATTTACTATTTAAATTTTAACTTCCAATATTGATTCTGTATACAACTTTCCTACTAAAGTAAGGCATCGTCACAGACCAAGAAGAAGCGCACGAAGGAAACATATCAGACTCCATTCTGTAAGAATAACAGGAGATATACAAAGCTTTTCAACGTTTAGGGGCTCTATGCAGTTGGCATTCACCATTGCAAGAACAATAAGTTCAAGTCTCTTTACCAGCAGGGCGATGGGAGTTAAGACCACCATTTGGAACCAAAATTTCCAAGCGACCTGGTATTGGTTTGAGAACTTTCTGAAGAAGCTGATGTCGCTCCTTCAAGCTTTGGTGAATAACACTGGTGTCTCCTACGTAAAGAATGTCAAAAGCAACATCTGGCCTCATTCATGTTAAGGCAAACAAGAACAGATAGCTTCAGTGTCAGCAAACTTGAAACGCTTATGAATGCTGATACATCTCACATCTAAACTATGCAGCATTGGAAATTGGATCATGGTTGGTACACAAAGAATCCAGGCACCCAAGAAGGATACAGCACAACTGCATCAGAAGAACACATAAATGAGACCATTGAGATGAATGCTTCAAGTATTATAAAGTTGCATATATTGTACATAAAAAGACCTTTCGATCGCCATCAAGTCCCTCCTTCACTGCCTTGGCTATGAGAAATAAGGGGAAAAGAAACGAATGACTTTTCAGCTAATGTATATTAAAGACTGTATAATGGCATGTAAAGTAAGAAGTGATCACAGAACCTATTTCTTGATTTGACCCAAACTCCGCAAACCGATTAGTAGATGTGTCCCACACCAACATTTCACCGTCAAGAATACACCTATGGAAAATCAGTGACTAGTTAAGCCATCTGAAGACTGAAGTACATCAATTCACACCACGAAATGATTATAAAACTCCATTTGGACATAAGTCCTATGCTTTGTCAACCTGGAGAGAGGGAAATAGGAAAAAGAAACATATACTTGGATAAGTTATATCAACTATTCAGGCTCTGGATCCTACTTCTGTCTCTCACTCTTAACATTCATAAAAGATTGAACAATTGGACTCATGGTAATATAGCATAATTTTTTTTCCAAGCCTTGCGGATTATTTTACAGGGAGTTATTTGGTAAATTTCCCCCAAAAAAAAACAAAAAAAAAAAAAGGAAAAGGAAAAGGAAAAGCAGGAGGAGGAGAGAGAGAGAGAGAGAGAGAGAGAGAGAACATTAAATTGTTCAGTGAAGGCAAATAACAAGCAAACAAAGAACTTTTTGAGCATAACTACTTCCAAGATCCACAATATAAAAGGCCAATGGTATTTGAATATAATTACAATCTGGATGCAGGCAAAAACAGTGAATCCCTCAAGATATCAAGGAAAAATTGCAGCATTTTGGCACGAAGTTAGAAGAACTGCAAATGAATAATTAGATATTTTACCTGTCAACCAGAATATTCTGTATAATAATGTCTGACATGCCATGTCCATATTCCGAATGATCAAGAAAGTTCCTGCACGAGCAGTGGAATGATAATCATACTCAAGCATTCATTATGAAAGCTACATTACGAACTAATAGATTATCAATTAGAAGCAAAGGGAACATAATTGAAATGAAGAAGTTGTAGAAGCTCAACAATGCCAAAGCACTAAATGAATATAGAAAACCACAATATAATAAGCTTTTGTTTGAGCCCCATTCTCCAAATGTTCATTTTTTTCCGAAATTCATTTTCAACTACACATTCTTCCAATACAATAATTTTGCATGTAAATCCAAAAACTTTTTCCCTACTTTTTTAGCCCTTGTCTGGGCGCCATTCTGAAATTGGGTTCCACCATTTACGTCATTGTTTTGAATACCTGCAATTGTCATTTTTGTAATTCCTTTTGTGCCCACTCTTGTGTCCAATAGTGAGGAAAGTAGTGAAAAGTATCATTCTTGGAGAGAAGGGCATGGTAGGGAAAGTGAAGAGGAAAAGAATAAATGCTACAGTGAAATGTGATGTTAATGACAGATGAATGCAATAAAAAATGGGTTTGTGAGAAAGCATCAATTCAATTTCTTCTACTTGGGAACAAAAAATGGGAAACAAACAAGAGCTTAATCATACACTCTACAAATGATCATTATTACAAAACTCATTTTTACGTAAAAGGGGCTCAAAAAGAGTCTTAAGTTAGCTTGAACAGTTCTTCATTCAAAACTAATGTTAGTTTGATGAACAAAAAATTAACTAGTTATTTGATTAAAAAACATATCATAAATTCACAAGTATAAAGTGGATAAGTTATCGAAAAAGCTGAAAAGTGTAAGGAGGTTAATCGTAGGATAGGTACTACCTCGAAAAGAAATGTATTTCTGTCCCATTTTTGTGAATTTGAATGCGATCACCATCGAATTTGCACTCGACAACAACTTCCTTGCCGTGAAGCTATTGGGGGAGACAGAACCAAGATCAACAATTAATAGGCAAGCGATTTTATTGACAGAAGAATGCATAGACTGATTGGTCCCCAAAAGTTGAAAATAAGTGATACAAATAATCAAAACTTTTGTTTCCATTTCCAAAAGTTGTAAGAAAATCACTATCCTTCTCGTGAATCTAAACCATGTGCAGACCTTTTTCCATGCAGCTGTTGTATTATTGATCCTTAGAGCCAATTGAGGACGAACAGGTTTGCCAACTTCAATGTCCTAAAGAAAAAAGAAAAGCATTTTATTATATGTCAAAGATGAAAGAAAAACTGTTTCGAAAGAGTGTGAAAATGGTTGAAAGAAAGAAAACTACTGATCAATGAATCATCCAACCTGCACCACACACCTCCAAATCCACCCCCATTCGATCGCTAGGCTTTCAACCATGCCACCTCAATGAACACGCCCACATGCTCACAAAATCATAGATCCACAAATGCCTTGACATGCAGACTCACAATTTCACACTCACCCAAATAGACAGAACAACATTGAATAGCATAAAATCTCAAATTCAGACATACATCTCATGCGGTGACACAAACACCTGAAACCATAGAATAATTGTGAAAAAGGAAAAAGAATCACAATTGTATTTTGAGGGGAGAAAGATCACAGAGGGTAGCAAGCTTAATTATTTGGAGTGATTATGTGGTATTTTTCCTATTCGCCCGTCAAGAGACACGTGCAAGGTTAAATAACAAGGATTCACATCCTTTACAATTACCTCAATTCATGTGATTTTAGGTCAATCTCTTTGCAATACTAATCTGCCTAGAAATACTAATAAGCTGCTTTTACAAACCATTACATCTAACCTTCGTTGAATATGCCCAAGTAATTCTACCAATTCTAGCAAAATTTATGTTTAGTGGTTGCCATATTAGTCAACTTAGAAATATAGTCCTTTTGTATTTTTTTTTTTTTATCTCTCATCATGTCAAATCCATTTAACATACATTCATATGCACTACAATTCATACAGCTCAACATTCAGTCCCATAAGATATTGCAGGTCTCGTAGCAGAAGTACATATCCTTTAAACCAAGCAAGGTTTATTGTTGAGAACTCCAAAGGTTGTACTTAAATAATTTTGGCTTTACATCTCTTTGTTATTTATTATATTTTTTTTTTAACTTTATCTCTCTTTCCATTTAGAAGTCCCCAGGCCACGCCCAAGGAATATGCTATTATAAAGAATTCAATGAAACCAATCCCATTCAGGCCAGTAAAAGTGAAAACTGGTTATTGATCGACAACTCAATTTCAATAAAATAGCCAGGTAAGAACCGATCGGTTCAGTCTGCTTCTCTGGTCCAGACTACTTGGCAGTTTTTCTTTTCTGTTCTCAATTTATCCAAGAATAAAATGTAAAGTTTTTAAGTTGGATGGATCTGATTACGAAGCACCAACTCACAACTAAACTATCCCATTCACTAAGGCCCTAAACTGGTTTGAATCTAATCAAATCGAAATGGCACTGTTTGCACTGGTCAAGTCTTCTGTTTTTATAGTGAACCATCCAGTTCTCTGAAAAAAACCAAACTGGTAAAATACCCAAACCAGGACCAATTCTTCCAGTTTTACCAAAACTTAGCCAGACCACGCCTACCCTTTCTATTGATTCGAAATTCCATTTATCATATTTAATATGCCAAAAAATGTAGCAAAGGAACCACCATAAGAAGCTCAGTACCCATAGGCCATAGCTAGATTGTGCAAATTGGGAAATGACAATTGTGAGTTGAATGAGATTTACTAGCAGTCCTAAAAGTTAGATGCACTATCCTTATAAAAAGATGAAAAAGGAGAACATATGTTTTGAAAATAAGATTTAAATGATATACATGTGCCCTTATCTAATAGCCTAAACATTTAGATCAAGTGTTTTGACATGGTAACAAAGCTCGCAAATGACGTTCATTAAAAATTGTGCACGTGTAAAGCTTTCATGAAAAAGATGAATACTGGACACGAAGATAAGATTTTAAACGGTATACATATGGTATTATCTAAAAGCTTAAATTTTTAGATCAAGTGTTTCAACACTAGAATGGGCAGTTTGTAAGCATCACAAAACTTCCAAGTAGCTCAGCAAACTAGAGAAACAGGAGCAAAAACCATCCAGCTTATCCCAATATGGAAACTTGGAGTCAGGTGAAACCAAAAAGGCATGGTTACTCAATTTTAAAGTGAGGTAAGGCCTTATGTCCCCGTCATTGTGTGCTAAATTTGGAACGTCAACAAATATAATTAATTATTGAAGAAAAGAATTTGAACCCAAGACATGAAACAAACCTGGCGCTTATGACGTTGACTTCGATCTCTCAACTTCTCACAAACTAATTTTAAATCACATGTCACGTTGAACAAGTCCTCTGCATCTGGGTGAAATTCTTGGAAGATGCTCTTTTCACTAATTCCCAACTTAAGATCTAAACATTGAATGATTTCCCAAAAGGAGATAAGAGAAAAACAAAACATTAATATGAAAAATGCCAATGGTATACACAAACAAAAGGATTGCAATTTATTCAAAGTCATTGCATTCTAACCTTTAAGAATTATCATAATAATCCACTTCATTTCTTTAGCATTTGTTTTCTTGATCAGATCACGCAGAAGAGAAATCTTCTCGGCTCTGTAGGAAAACAAATATGATTACAATATAAGGATTACCACAATGTATCTAGGATAACCATGCATCTTGTTAATTTGCTCTGCCTAATAACAAAAAATCCAGAGAGTTATTATATTATGATTATAAATTATAGAAAAGAACATATGAGTAAGCACCTTTCAACTATGATTAACATACCACAAGGCAGCAGGAGTCATAAGGCCCATAATGATTAAAAAGCAAAAACTAGGCAAAAGATTATCGGTACACATTTCCAAATACAAAAGAAGGATCCCACAAGGACTCTACTTATACATAAATAAGGCTATTTACCTATTTTCCGTTGAAGCCAATTGATCAAGCAATTCATTAAGTTCTTTTATCGTGAGGCCACCTGAAGTCATACCCTGCCTCCGCTCCAGTACCTGCTCATAGATACTATATGTAAGATCATTTGATTCTCGTGATTCAGTTGACAATAGTAACTGTAAAACCTTGCTAAAAGTCCACAAAGAAATCCAAAAAAGAAAGACAAAAACACTCCAAATCCCAAGAAAAGAAACCCCGAGATCTTAGACCAAAATTGTCCCTATCTTCCTCTATTTAGATATAAAAGGGAAAAATGGAAATGGAATTCAGAGCGAAGTACAGGTATAAAAGAACATGGACTATAATCATCACCACCCGTATTAATTGTGCTTCAAAATATATACCTTGTTCAGTCAACTTCATGAAAAGTGGAGTAGACTATTAGTTTTTCTTTTCTAACTCAGGAGATTTGTCACTTTTCTCAGTCTACTAAAATTAGGAGACTGCCTCTTCTTCCAATGCCTATACAAAAAGAACGTCATTCTTGTCTGTAATCAAAATATCATTATATTCAACTTATTCTACTAATATTGTCAAGCTTTTGATTTTTTTTTCTTGTTTTTATAAGATTTTAATTCCGCTGCTAAACTCAAAATAGGTGACTACAGAAATCAGAATTCCACAAGAAAGTACAGCAGCAAGTAGTACAAGTTAGAACATTGACATTCATCAAAGGTTGTACCTTTCCCAGTAAACCGTTCCAAAAAAGCGGAGGTAAACATAGTTAACAACAATTACCAAGTAAAATGCGTATCAATGGAAATCGTTAAAAAGATTTCAAATTTAAGTAAAATTATGAGGCCCAATCCATCATTTTCCTAACTGAGGAAGGGAATAAGGTTAAAAATAACCTCTAATGCTATGCGAGAGAAGTTTCCAGCAAAGGCACCGGAGTTAGGGCCACCTTTGCGCCAGTTGATGAGTTTCTGAGAGTCGGAGGAGTCGCGGGACATGTCAAGTGCGTCAATAAGGCAGGTAGCTAGGACGTGCTCACGGAGGCCATAGGAACCGCGCTCGCGATCAAGTCCTGGAAGGATGAGACGGATGGTGGCAAAGTAGTCCTCGCCATTGTTGGGGCGGCAGAAGGTGGAGAGAAACTTGCGGAATTTGGAGCGTTTGACGGTGGAGGTTTTGCTCTTCTGCATCCATTCGAATAGGCTTACCATCACACTGAATTTTGTTTCCGCCATTTTTGTCTGTCGAATTAGGATTCAAAGTTGGAATTCTTTGTATGAATTTTATAGTTGCAAGAGGAAGTGTGCTTGGGAAGTTTAAATGTCGAGTTCTTAAATCGAGGCAGGAAAAAGTACTACCAAGTAAAGCATAAAGTGCAAGCTTTCAATACTATGAAGAGAAAATTGCAGAAGTCTCCAACGCGTCAAACTTTCTACAGGTCTCTACTCTATCCTTTTTTCTATCAGACCCTTGTTGACATTTTCAAATTCATTTTTTTCTCGAACCCATTTTCAAATACATGTCATCCGGATAATTTTTTCTGACATTTTAAGGGCCCGTTTGGTAGAGATTTTGAGAATTGATTTTTTGATCGTTAGAAGAAAAGTGAGGTCCTCATGTGAGAGAAGAAGTCAAAAATTACGGCTTGAATAGTAAAATAACGGTCAAAAAGTCAATTTTTTGGGACAAAAAATCCCTACCAAACGGGGCCTAAATCAAGTTCCACTTTGTGACTTATCAAAATTTGATCAATCCGATCAAAAATCTCATTATCTCTTAAGTAGGTCAATCGATCGTGTTGGACTAAACGTCTACGTTATAGAACGTTTCTCTAACCAAAAATTTCATTGTTGATCGAATCAAGGTTGACAAGAGATAAGCAAGCAAGAATGAAATATTTTGAGAATTGATTTTTTGTCCGTTGGGAGAAAAATGAGGTCCACCTGTGAGAGAAGAAGTCAAATATGACGACTGAAATAGTGAAATAACGATCAAAAAATCAATTTTTTGGGTGAAAAAATCGAGCCCAAACAGGCTCTCGAGGCAAGGGGCTCTCCATCTCTAGAAAGGTTGTGTATAGGATCTAGTAAAAGCCTTGCTTCATTGGGAAAAAATCTCACCCCACACAACAAAAACAAAAACAATAAAACGAGGGAAAAGGAAAAAATAAAAATAAAAAATTAGAAAGAACGCTCTATTAGATAAAGAAACTTTATAGTATAATATTTTCTTCAAGGAATATATTACTTAATCCTAATGCCTGTCCATTTGAGTATCCATTCCCTCACATAGAGAGGGACTCACTTCGAATAAAATATATTTTATTAGAAATTTTATTCAAAGTGGATCCCACTCCATGTGAGGGAATGAACACCGAAATGAACACCTTGATGTATATGTAGCATCACCCTTTCTTTACTCCCTCGCTTTTCCCTAATTTTAAATCAACGTTCTAATTTTTTTTATTTTTTTTTATGATAATTTTTTTGATGAGGGTTTCCCCATCATCAAAAAAATAAAAATAACGTATGTCATAGTCTTGTACTAACTATCTCTTCTTCGAATTTTTCTCGTTTATACCTTTACACGACAAACTCACCACAATCTGGCCAGTAATAAAAACATTAAGCGCATGAACGCATGCCCACGCCATTTTCTCTCTTTAAACCTCTCTTACCACCCACAATTTTCTTCCAATTAATTTTTGGTCGGTCTTTTCTTCTGGCTCACTGTTTCAGTGCACAATTTGATCAAAGCTAATGCCCTTCATTTGTATGAGAAAATTACAAATAATATCAATTAGAGTGGATCTGCATCTCTCTTTTTCATCTGCATCAACATTTTATCAACGATTGTCTTGTTGGTGGCTTCCACTTCCTCTCGCTGCATTCTCAATTCTGCCTCGAGCAGCTCTGTAATCGAACATCTTCGTCCATTAAATATATCTGAAGTCCTCTCATTCCAACTAAACCACAACAAGATGATGGAAAAAAAAATCTTCCCATTTCGACGAAGTTTTCCAGATTGTCATCAATAACTCTCAAACATTAGAGTCATCAAAATTCCAAATCAACTACCCCAAATGGAATAATATAACACACAAGTTCTAATTTTCTCACAATTAATCCGCAAATGGAACACACTTTTCACTTTTTGTTCACATATTCACACAAGCATCATCTATGCCAAAATCCCTACAAGAATTTTTCGTCAAAAATTTAGCTCATGTTAAATTCAGATTCTTTTAAGTTTATCTCTCCCCGGACTCATTTTCGACCCTATATTCTCCCGATAAAACAAATTTGAATGTCAACTCGTAACTTTTCCTTACCTTTTAACCACCCATTCTAAAAAAAAAAAAAAAAATCACTTTCCACAAAATCTACATCAAGTAGGCCGTAAATCTTCAGCACCACATTCACTAGCCACAAGAACTTCCACCAGCCACTTCAACAATTCGAGCAGCCCTCAAAAAGTCTACATCAAGCAGGCCTTTAATCTTTTGAAAGTATATTCAATAGCCACAAGAACTTCCACCAACCGCTTAAATGGATATACAATCTATAAAATGATCATTGATAATGTAATTAGAAAGTAAGTCGATTGCCCCTTCGGACAATTGTGCCATTAGTTTATATCCACATATGACAGGACCATAAGAAATACCCTGAAACTAAGAGGTTAAAAATAAGATACATAATTTCACTGGACTACATCCAAGCTAGTTATTATTTGGTACACAAGAAAGCCCAGTTGCTACAAACATAGCACAACAATATTATAATGTTATTTCGACATTCTAGAAATTTTATGAGCTAAGGAATCATAAAACAGCTCAAACACAATAAAATTTTGAGCATAAATATCAAAAAACCTAACCAGAATAACCAATATGTGAGCTATGTAATGGGGGGGAAAAAGCAGCAACCCAAAAATCAGATGCATGTAACAAAAAAAAAAAATAAATAAATAAATAAAATAAAATTATTTTTTATTTTTTTCCATAGTCAATGGCAGATGCTTTACACTTTACAGATTAGGATCTGGCATATATGTTATAACAGTTGTAAGGAAAATGCTGAACATCGGGCCTAAGAGTTCATAGCCTAAAATTACGATAACCTCCAAGGCCAGATGATCCATAGCCATCATAAGGTTGTTCCCTATACAACGAGGACGAGTAGGACCCACTGCCAAGCTGAGAGTAGGAAGGCCTCAAACTCAATTCCAGATTGCCATAAGTTTCGGGAAGTGTGTCTCTATGACCACTTGTGAATTCCTGCATAACAGAACAATCTTTAGCTTTCATTGAAATTCAACATTCTTAAAAGTAACAATCAGGGACTTAAAAATGATATTCTATTTTTAATACTAAATAGAAGTCAGATTCCTGCAGTTGTAGAGTTTAGTCATTGAACTTCATATCTTGTTTAAACAATGAAGGCACGTATTGTAAACAGTATTGAACATTGTTCTACAGTACAATAGACTTATAGTTTGCTTTTCCTCTTTATCCATGCTGTCCAATGCAATGTAACAAACATCTCATCAGCATCAAAGCTCCTCCGAGCAATTAATTCAATACTGAACCATAAGTGTGCAATTTGCTCCTAAACCACTTAGCAACCACACTATTTTCTAAGATAACAAGAAACTATAAAAGAATGAAACTATTATACTGCTATTTTCATTGGTTAAAACATTAAGGGGTTGTTTGAGCCCCATTTTTTTAAAAAATACATTTGCAATAGTGTTATGATGGAGAATGAGTGGTCAAAAAATAAGGAAAAGTTTTGAGTTTGCGTGTAATATTATTTTATTAAAAAGGGTGTGGTTGAAATGTGGTGAAATCACCGTTCAAGAATGCAATTTAAGGAAAAAATGGGGGGCTCAAACAAGGGCTAAAGTTGCACACAGAGCTACCACAAGCATATAACGGGGATCATGTAAATTAAAGGAATGGCCTGATCATTAAAAGAAGGGGAGGAAAAAGAAGCAGATAACAAGGTATGGAAAAAAATAAATAAATAAATCGCTACCTGAATTAGCTGCTGAGCTGTTTGAACTTGTGAAGAGGTGCCTTTTATTTCCACGGTGATTTCATCATGAAGGCCTCTGCTCTCTAGCACAGTGAGGATGGCACCGCTAGTACGTCGAATGTAATCAATATTTGCTCCTTTAACCCCAATGATATCCTCTGCATAAGCAAGTGGTATTTGCATCGTCTGAGCAATCTACTCACAATAATCAATATGTTATGTTAATTCCACACACCTAGCATCCATTAAGTGGTCAACGAACTGAACAAAAATAAGTCGAAAAGGAAATTGCAGTACTTATGCAACCTATTGGGGTTGCTCCTTGCTGAGGTTGAATGTGGAATATTAGAAGGTCAAAAACAAATTTGGTCTCTGCTAACCTAAGCACAGAACAAACTACAACCATTTGATAAGATGAAGCAACATATTCAACACAACATTAAGATCGTTTGTACTAAGTATTACACCAGACCTACGAAAGGGGTTTACAAAAGTCCTATTTAACAAATTATAAGAGTACTCCAAAAATTATTGGTTTCTTGTGTACAGTGTGAAAATAAATTGCCCAATTGACTCTCCTTTGCCTTCACTTTTATAGCCTTTCCTATTTATTAAAAAACTACAGTAAAGTAAAATATGAATGACAAATCATAAGAACAAAGAAAGTGATAGACAAGCAATAGTTGGCAATTTGCAATGATCCTGTACACTAGTAACTACTCCATCCGTCCCATAGAGATAGTTCATTTTTTCACACAAATTAAGAAAATTAAGTTAATATAGTTGAAACAATATTTACTATCATTTTTCCTAATATACCCCTACATTAATGCAATCAATATTCAAGGCAATTAAACTACGCATGCAATATTCAAGGTAATTAAACTATTCTTTATACTAGTCATTGTTTAATGCAAGAATCAAGGTAATTAACATTCCAAAGTCATCCAATACAAATACAAATGAATAAATGTCATGGAAGATGAAATATTTTCTTGGTTTTTAATTTATTATTCCAACTGCAATTGAATAATGGAGTGGTCTACATTTGTAATAACAAAGTAAATTAACTAGGGGCATATTATGAAATTAATATATTAACTACACTATCAACTAAGAAACATGACTATAATTTGGGATAGACAAAAAAGGAAAACATGACTATCTTCATGGGACAGAGGGAGTAATAATTATGAACAAACAGCATATGGCTCCAAATCGAGTAACCTAATATCTAGATAAGCCATGTAAAATTGAGCACAAAAGAGTAACTATAAATGTTTTAAATTATACAATAGAACTTCAAGCATTCAATGTAACATCCCGAAAATTTTAGAATAAAACTTAATTATATTATTTGTTATATTATTATAAAAATAATAATAATAATAAGGACCAAGATGAAATAGGTTTTTGAATTCATATTTTATTTTGGGTCAAATAATTGAATTTTGGTAGAGTGAGTGTAAGTACATCAATATTGTACTTCTCTGGATAGCTTGTAATTAATTATGCATTTTAGGCTCGAGAAAAAGTTAATTTGGATAAGTTAGGGCCAAGATATTATAGTTTTAAAGATATAAGCTTTGTTATTAATTGAGATGGTAAGTAATAGTATTTTAAATAATATGTAGCCACGTGTAACTTCCTTGCTTTTGATTAGGATTAAAAGGCTAATTGATATTTAATTAAAACTCCAACATGATTTCCCTTATTAGTTAGTTAAATTAGGATTTGGAGTCAACCACAATTAAACGAGAATTTATGTAATTTCCTACTGTAATCAAATTCTATTAAATCTGTCCACTTTTGCTCTCGGTTTGATAATAGGAAATAAAGACAATTTTTGTGGAAATTAAATAAGAGTTTTATTAGTCATTTAAATTGGTTGTTGCATTAAAATAAATTATGCCTTATATCTAATGCAATTAGGATTCCAACTTATCCTAATATGTACATGCATCGATAATGATAATTTAATTGGGAATAAATAAATTCAAAGAAACGTATGTAATATGTATTTTTTTTAATAATGTACCTTTTAAGATAATTAGTAAAAGATAGAATATTTTATCACTTTTAAAAATCTCATTTAAAATTCTGTTTCCACCATTAGAGCTATTATTTTAAGATTAAATTTTATCCCAAATCTATTCTTCATTTGAAAAGTCCACTGTAACAAACCAACTACCTTCAAATTGGTGTGCACGTGTTACAAGATATAGCAAATCTTTATTCTATCCTATCAAGATTGTTTATTGAATTAAAACCATCCTAACCAAATCAGTTTTCCTGCGTACACGTGTATATAAATTGCATGGTGATATTATCGTATATAGGGTGAATAATTCTTCAGTCAAACTACTTAGATTTGTTTTATTGTTTGACCATAAAACATGTACTTGATAATATTTCAAACTTAAATTCTTATCCCAATTTTGTGAAGTCATTATTATCCTATTCCTTGCATAGCATGGCTTCACTCCTAGTTGCATCAAGACTCTTTTTTTGGATATAAATACTCAGCAAAAGTCAGAGAATTGTCTCATACTTTTCTAAAGCATAAAGCAGTTCTCCTTCTTTCAAAAAAAAAAAAAAGACGTTTACAGCAGCGGCAGTAGGAAGTAAAAGATTTGGAGCGTGATTTTTTATTTTACCTTTGAAAAGTTTATTTGATCTAAAGAGGTAGGATACATATGTGCAAGTTGTTCCGTCCTTGCAATATTATGATTTTTATACGTGATTTATTTCATAAAATGCTAATTGACCTGCGGGTCCCTAAGAAATGAAATGAAATGTAAGATCGCCTTCGGGTCCTCTCAAATGTGCTAGAGCTTTCGATTGATCACCGATTGCTCTTGATGAAATGATGGTATGAAATGTTATAGATTCATGTTTTACAAGTTATCGTATTGTTTTGGACGCACGTATCCTACTGAGTATAAATTACTCACTCCTTCCATTTTAACATTTCAGGTCAGATTAGTCAACGTGGATGGTGGCTGAGTGGTGCGCAAGTTGCTAAGTAAAAGAAATTTTTTCAGGAATCCATAATAAATTTATTAAGACATTTTATGTTTATCTTTAATTCCATTCATGACACTATGTTTATTAAATTCCGTGTTTGAGTTTCAATAAATTAAGGTTTTAAGTTTTAAATTTTATTTCCGCTTGATGTATGATTATGGAATGATATCGGTAACTCCTCAAATTTAAGTCGATAAAATCTGGGGCGTTACATTCAAACTAGGTCTGACCATCAGCTGGAACCTCATCAATTGAGGAGATTTTAGTAAAGAAAATTCTAATTGTCAAAAAAAGAATAAGGACATAAAGAACACAAAAACTATTTGTCCTAGATTTTTATATAATGTTTACCCCTTTTGGCATTGTTAAACCCATGCTGAAACAAAAAGCAATAATTGAAGAGAGATGACAATGTACATGATGCAACTAATAGAACTGCACGCGTAAAGTTTAATCTAAATAAAAGTATGTAAATAAATGTGAAATTGTTAAAATCACAAACCTGAGTTACAATCGGTCCACCTGTAGATCCTATTCCTGCCGAAGAACGATTTCCAAGTCCATGATCTGATCCATACAATGAAAATCTAGAAGAAGGGATATGTGCTTCCATTTGACTTTCATGATCAAGAAATAACGAATCCCTCTTCACTTGAAGAGGATGATAATTCCCAAGTGAAGTCCTCGGAGTTGTGTGCCGCAATGTCTTGTCAGACCCCGAGTCTACTTGCCGTTCCTGAGTGAGTGGTGCATTATACTGTAGAACAGGATACCAACTTTATTAGAGTCCTGCGATCATGGATCACTAAACTAAGAAGGAATCGACTTACACTCTTCTCAAATAGGGGAAGTACAGTATGATCCACCAAGAATTTTCTCAGGTGCCCCACCACAGCTTCCAAAGCTCTGAGAACCTTGAGAGTTTCCCCTTGTAATTCGACAATCCTTTCCTCAGAACTGGCATAAACTGGCATTTCGTCTGCAGTATAAATATAGAGTCATATAATGAACAAGTATAGAGTATTGTGTAATGTATCTTCATAGTGAACATCATCTCAAGCAACACAATCATGGAACACCAGATCCGAGAAAGACTAAAGAAATCGCTTGATACATTTTATGTTGTCTTGTGCGCACAAAAGTCATTTTCCTCAAAATTACTTATAAGTGAAGTGCTTTAAAAATGAAGATTGTTAAAATTTAGATAGCTCTAAAGTTCAATTGAGACGGCTAATTATGAGCAGAATACTGAGAGATCAATCAGTGTATGTTAGATTGCTGTTTCTATTCATGCTTATGCTTCACAAAATGAGGGCCCGATTGAAGTAACTTCCTGTTTTGAGTAAGATTTGAGAAAACAAAATGACGATATCATCAAAAAACAAATTCATGAGTATGAGCACACACGTGATGCTCCTGTGGTTCTTCTGTTAAAATTATTAAAACAATAAGAAAATTTTCCCCAAAAACACGCAACAAAAATTTAAACCCACTTCCACAGAAAAGAAGGTGACATCACATATAACCCCAACGAAACTCGGTCATTAGGAAGATGTTAAAATACCATTGGATAGAATGCGGATAGAGACACTAGTGCTCTCCTGAATTGACTTGATCAAAGAGCCTTGTTTTCCTATTAAACTAATGCCTTGGGAGGATGCCACTAATAACCGAATCGAACAAAATGCAATTCCAGCAGCACCAAGGGCCTTGCCATCACCATTGTTCTCAGGCAGTCCATTGATGCGTTTGAATATTCTAATTACAGCATCTATTGCAGGAGACAAGGGTGATTCTGGTTCTTCCTTCCCAGAAATCAGAACCTGAAGCATGAAAATAATATTTCAGGTGTTAAAATGAAACATAATCCTGAAATAGAAAGAAAGCTTTTTTTCTAAACCAAATCACCAAGCTAGTAAACACAAACCCAGGAAAAAAAAGTTCTCCTTTGCTTTGTTAATTGGTTGAGTGTCCAAATCATGAAATCAAGGATAGACACAGATATGGCAGAAGTCACACAAACAACATCAGAGTCCCACTCCGCGTAGGTCAGCAGAATCTGCCGACGAAGCAGAGATTGCACTGGAGGCACCAAGTAAATGAGTAGCATCATTTTTCACAACATAAAAAGTACCAGCACTCCATATCATATGGTATGATTTCCTCTTACTTTTATATTATTCACCTTATCTTGCGGAACAACTACTCATTTCAGACTAAGATAATATAACAGTCCTGACAAACATATCGTCCAGAATAAGAATAAGTGATCACACATAACAAACTTTGAACGTGACGTAGCACATTGAGTCCCTCCAAGAAGGGATATGCTGCAAATGGTTTTTAGTAATTAACCAAAGTTTCCAGGCGAAATATAAGGAATACACTGATAAGAAAATATTTTCAATGGATAATAACCAAGTGGAGAGTGAGAAGCTGTCTCAACATTGTACATAGAAGCTCAATGTAATGGTTCTAAATTAACAGTTAGTACTCCACTGTGCTGCCATTCAAAATACACCATTTACTGTTGAAATTGCTCCACATGTGCTCCATGTTTCTTTTTAAACTACTCTATCCCAGGCTGGAAAGAAGTGGAATAAATTACACGAGCCTCCCTTTTGCCTTTGCTTTTTACGGAGTCATCTTAACATGTTATCAAAAGTTTTTAATTTCTAACCAGATTTCTTCATGTCATCACGAATCAACCTTTTTTCGACATTTTTTGTGCATACTGAATATTTCAGACGGAAACATACACATTGTTTAAACTAATATGATAGCAGCTTTAATTTCATATGCATCTATGTTAACATATTTAGGTATATCAATAAAATTTGTCGTCCACCTAAGGCATACCACAGATCTATAACTATTTTTAGAAAATCGGTAACAACCAACTCGTGTCTCATTAAACATGCGCATTACTGGATAACATTCATTCTTATAATAATAATAATAATAAAGAACTTATCCAGAAACACGTGTCCAATAATAAGCTGAACTGCCGGAGTTTAGTGTTTGTAAAAGTAGCTAAAATGAAATGAACATATCTGAGGGCATAACTTGGACGTCTTTCAGCACACTTTATCCTCAAGAGGATTAATTTTAGGTTCAGAAACATTAATAATTAATCCAAGATTAAGTTCATGAGATTTAAAACATGAAATCCGAGGATCAACTATAACCCTGAACATTCTCTCTCCTATTTTCAACCACACAATTTTTCATAAAATAATATTACTCGTAAATCGAAAAGTTTTCCTTCTTTTTCAACTACTCATTTTTCTAAAAATTACTATCCCCCCATTTTCATTTTCAAGTAATGGGGGTCAAACGGGAGCTTAATAAAGAGGAAATTACTAAAATAATCAACTTTTGGCTTTTCATTTACAAAAATGTCACTTTTTAAAAGTTTTTTCAAGATTGTCAATTTTAAATATTTTTGCCCCTCTTAAAAATTTAAATACCTTACACATCTTTGAGTTGACAACATAAAAAGTTGTACAAAAAGTGAAGAAAATATGACAATCAATCACCTCAAAATTGCACTTCAAAATCCTTACATATATATTAAGTGTAGAAAATCTTACCAAATTAGTAAATTTTCTCTAGAAAATATTTATTGGTAGGAAGAAATTTATATTTCAAAACGTGTAAAAATTTTAAGAGAAAGACCTCATTAACAAGTCCTCTTCATATTTATTAGAAAGAAAAATTTTTTGAAAAGCAAGTCATTTTCATATTAACTAAAAAAAAATTTTTCAAACTTTTGGTAGGAAGATTTACGTAAATTTTATAGACTTTGTCATCTTCATTAAAGACGTTTTAAATTTTGTTAAGACTTTTTTTCGAGTTTTTCTTATAATAGAATTCCCCCGAATTGGTATCCCAAGAATAGGTATTAGAGTTTTTCTTATACTAGAATCCCCCCGAATTGGTATCAGAGCCTATAACGGTCAAAAATTATATAGTTTATGAAAAGAATCAAGTATTTAAATTTAGAAATTTTAGGAAACTATAAAAGAAAAGATAACTTAGAAGCAGCTTCTCTAATTTGTAATTTTGATAATAAGTTTAGACATACTTTACATAGTGAAGATAAACAGTTAAATAATATTGTAGACTTACTTGTAAGTTTAGGAGAAAATTTTGAAAGGAACAATTCAAATAAAAAAGTAGAAATTTTATTAGAAAATATAAATAAAAATATAAAGATTTTAGAAACTAATCTAGAATATATTAAAAATCAAAATACCGAAATACTAAAAAGAAAATATAATAATATAGGAGAAACGGAATCTAGTCCTAACCTAGAAAAATTGGAAAACATAGTTAGCCCTTGTTTGATCCCCATTTTTTGGAAAAAAAAGAATTCTTCAACAGTGTTTTGACATAATTTTAATCACACATTTTTCAATAAAATAATATTACACGTAAATCCAAAATTTTTCTTTGTTTTTAATCACACATTTCACATCAATACACTATTCAAAAATTCATTTTCTCCATCAAAATGGGGCTCAAACAAGCGCTTAAAGTATTAGAAAAAAAAGTCAATTGATAATAGACAAGATTTAGATAATATAATAAATAAACTAGAAAAACTAGATTTAGGTAAAACTAAAGAACCTAGTAAATTTAAGAAAACTAAGTGAATCTATACACCACACATTTCACATCAATACACTATTCAAAAATTCATTTTCTCCATCAAAATGGGGCTCAAACAAGCGCTTAAAGTATTAGAAAAAAAAGTCAATTGATAATAGACAAGATTTAGATAATATAATAAATAAACTAGAAAAACTAGATTTAGGTAAAACTAAAGAACCTAGTAAATTTAAGAAAACTAAGTGAATCTATACATAATGGATAAAGGAAAACAAATTATAGCCAGTAGTAGTAAATTAGTAGGCAATCATTTATTAAGAATATTAAGGCCCCGTTTGGTATCTATTTTTTTCCAAATACATTTTTCTCTCTCTTCTTTTCAACCACACATTCTTTATTAAAATAATATTACATGAAAATCAAAAAATATTCCTCATTTTTCAACCACACATTTTCCACCAATTTACTATTCTAAAATGTATTTTAACATAAAAATGAGTCTCAAACACTTTCTAAATAGAAAAACAGAATTTGAAACAATTTTAGAATCTTTAATAGATATAGAAGAACAAATAAAAATATTTAGACAAAATAAACTGAAATTAGTAAAAGTTTTAGACATATATAAAAAAAGAAATTTATTTAGTAAATCTTTAATATATCAGCATTACGGAGAAAGATATGTTTCCTGTACACATGAAGATCAATTTGTATCTCTAGATTTAATAAAAAAAGAATCTTATAAAGAAATCGTTAATAAAAATTTTCAACAGACTCATTAAGGATTAATAATAATAGGAGTAAAAGGGCTTCATAGAGAAAATTTAGGAGTTAAAGTATTAATATGTTTATATGATAGTAGATTCACGGATATAGAACAAGGATTATTAGGAAAAATAGAAGTGGATATGAATAATAAATGCGGAATAATATATTTTACACCAAACTATTTAGTTAGAACAAAGAATTTCTATAAAGATATTAAAATAGGAATAAAAAGCAAAGGATGTCAAATGAAAAGATACGAGGATAATTATTAATTTGCACAGGATTCATAAGAAGACTTAGTGAAAATAATACTACTAATTATAAATTAGAAAATAATCAAATAATTACACTATTAGAACAAAAAGATATAAAGGTTATCCTTGCAAAAAAAAATTCTCTTCAGAAATATATGTAAGATTAGATTGAAACTTAGGAAATTTTCTAAAAATACCAATATTAGTACCAGAAAATAATATTATGTATAATGAAACTTTAAGTATTAGATTTGGAAATTATAATTATCAAGCAAAACAGACACAACATAATGAAGAAGAAAGTGAAGAAGAATGTGGATATTTTGAAATTGAAGACTACGAAAGTGAAGACGAAATTAATGCTTTAGATGAAGAAAGTGAAGAAGATGAAGGCGAAGACGATGAAAAAGAATTTGGATAAATAGATATGGAATATTACAGAAATCTTAAAAAAATAGAGAAATAGAAACTAGAATGTTAATAGAAAAAGATCAAGTAGATATAGAAACCAAGATAGAAGAAAATAGCAAGAGAGCTCAAAGGGAGACAGATCAAGAATTTGGAAAAAGAAAAGAACCCATGAATACAGAATACGATATAAGAGGTAAATATCCTTTTCCTCCTGCAAGAGATTTTGAATGGACTGATAAAATATATAAAAGTTTAGGAAAAAAACAAACGGAAGAAGGATGTAGTTTACCGTTAACAAGCGATAGAGGATTAATTTTAGAGTTAAATAATTGTAAACCACAAGACTAACCTAGTACTATAATTAAATGGAAAAATTCTGTAATTATAGCGTATAATAGTGTACCTATACAAATGAATGTAGAAGAAATGTGGGCTTATTTAGAAATTTATTTAGAAAAGACTACTTTAGATGTATACGTTACAACAAAAAGACTAAAATCAGATGAAATTAGATTAAGAATGGCTGGAAGAGATAATCCTATAAATTTTACAAGCTCATTAGAAAATTAATTAAAGGTTCTGATCCCATTAGATATAATACTTATGAACAAAATAAAGTTTTAAAAGACTTGGAAAAATTAAGTATTAATAATATGAAATACATACAACCATTTTTGTTAGATTTTGAAAGATTAGCAAGCGCGGCAGGATTAGCATTAGATTACCTTATACTTGAAAGATTATATAGAAAGATAACACAATCGTGGAATGATAAAATTAGAAAAGATGTAGAGTCAAACTCAACAAGGGAAATAACTACAAGTGCCACTATAAAATTTATAACCAATAAATTGAAAGAATATTGTGTAAAAGAAGTAGATAGAAAGCAAATAAAGAAATTAAATTATTCTTTTTGCTCAAATTTATATGCACCACAGACATATGATTATAGAAGAAAGAAAAAATTATATAAAAAAGATAAAAAAACAAAAATATAAAAAGCAATATCAAAATAAAAAGAAATATAATAATAGACCAAGTAGAACATACTATAAAAATAAAAGACTCAATTATAATAGATATGTTAGAAAAAAACTAAAAAAGATTATAAATGTTATATTTGTGGAGATCCTAGACATTTTGCTAACAAATGCCCATATACATATAAAAATAAAGAAAATGCAGCTAAATCTATAATAACTGAAAAAATACAATGTAACATAATAGAATTATCTGATAATGAATCCTGTAACTCAGTATATAATATTTACACAGATGAAGAGTTAACATAATTTAGAAACAACAAGTAATTCTGAAGACAGTTTGATAGTTTAAAAGAACTAGATTTTTCAATTTTAAATATAAAGATGATAAATGTAGAACAAGAATGTATCCATGAATGGATTAGAGGACAAGGATCAATGATGAATAAATGCAAAATATGAAAAAATACCCAGGACACAAAAATAGAAATCAGTGTAAGAATTGTCTAGAAATTCAATGCAATAATTGTTTAGGTATTAAAGAAGAAATAAATAATAATAAAGACTATGGGAGTGTTTGATATCCATATTCTCGTAAAAATGCATTTTAGAATAGTAAATTAATGGGAAATGTGTGGTTGAAAAATAAGGAAAAATTTTTGATTTACGTGTAATATTATTTTAATAAAAAATGTGTGGTTAAAAAGAAGAAAGAGAAATACATTTTGAAAAAAATAGATAAAATACACTAAACACTAGGAGAAATACAATACAGGATCAGAAATCTAGAAACGAAAGTAAAACGGCCTATAGATAATTATACAGAAAATAATTATTGGGAAACAGAAAATCAGGAAGAAATAATTTGTCAAATATTTAGAGTAAAGACAACAAAAAGCATCAGAATACCTATAAAAGTAAAGATAAACAAAATAATAAAATTAAATTTAATAGTATTAATAGACACAGGTTGTATATTTAATATAATCAGAAAAGATTTAGTGTCAAAAGATTGTAGAAAGAAATTAGAATTTGAAATAAGAGGAAGTCAAATGGACGGTAGTAAAATGAGATTCGAAGAGAGACTTTTTGATGATTGTAAGATTAAATTTCAAGAAAGACAGTATAGATTAACGACTACATTAGTTAGC